GATCTAATGTCTACATCTGCGGCGATCTGATGCAAAGTGATAAAACCCTAGAACCTGGATTCCGAACCTGTTTCTCCTGCACGGAGCATGATTGCTAGCAACTCAGCTTGGGCATCCCTCCTCCATCGAGGGAGATGCTTCTTATACATAAGATAAGGAGAAGTGATGGGTTGGCGAGTGTCCCCGGCCCGGATGCATGCAATATACCCTCTTCCTTCTCGGAGACCTCCGCTACCACCAATTACCAGGCTCTACGATGACATTCAATTTGTCTCTCTCTCCCCACTTTCATTCTCCCCTGGACCCTTTCCATTCCCTTCTTGGCTTATTCCTGGTCCGTTGCTTCCTTTTTCCACTCTATCTGGCATCGATACCCCTTCCACGCCACTGCCGTCATTCCCTTTCTCTTCTCTTTTGGCAACTAACCTCTTTTGTCTCTCGTCCTGGATGAAGGTGGTGGAAGGAATCGGAACAGGTTTTTTTCTCCTTTTCGTTTCCTCTCCGAGCATCGGATGTGGGGGACATGTTAAGGGGACGTGCAAGGGACATATAAGGAATCTCGTGATTGATGATGGTTCCCATGATCTTCCCGAATCGACATGGTCCTGGACTTCCCATCCATCATTCCCCTCTGACCAATCGCCCAACTTATTGGCCTCCTCAATGCATTCCCCTTTTATTTTTACTTTTTTTCCCTTCCTTTTCATTTCATTTTTTTTTGCAATCTCAATGGAAATGCAAGATGGATGTCGCCAAGAGGAGGCTCCGCCATCAGTCATAGCTCGAATGACTTTCTTCCTTGGCTCGACGCAATCTGCTTGGAAAGCTCGCCTTTTTCCGAAGTGCGTGATTGAATGAATGAAGAGGTGTGGGGGGAAAAATCGGGAAGAATGGAGGGGAGACGAGGTTTTATCTGACAGAGATAGAAGGGGTCAATTGAAGGCGGCCAAATGAGATGGATCAACGAGATGAGCTTTTTTTTTTCTCTCTCTCGACCATTCTATCGATCTCGAGCCAAAACTTTTCTCCTCTCCTCAGTCAAAAGAGGAAGAGCAGGACTCACGATCCGCCTATTATGGCGGGAAATATGGGTCGGGAAGGGGAGAGTCTATTCGAGTGAGTGGCCGAGGACATTATCATCCGCTTCTTTCTCTTTTTTTTTCTTTTTACCCTCATCCATACATGAGAGGGCGGGGAGGAAAAGGAAGAGGAAAAAAGAAAAAGGAAGCTTCTTCCGTCCGGGCTAGACTTCCTTCAATTATTATGGCCTCTTTCCACTGAAGGAATGACCATCACCATCATGCCTAACGGCACGAACTTTTCCATCGTTCATCCCAACTGTATTCAGGATGAAATTTTCATTCAAAGTCGGTCGTTTCGGTCACCATCGATACCCTTTTTTTTACGTGCGTCGGATGCAGCTGGGAAATAAATCCTTATTCATTTGGACTCTCGGCCCTGGAAACGACTTCTCTTCTCTCGGGATTTTTAATCCCCATTTTATCATTTTCTTTGCAGATGCGGACTCGAGAGAGGAGTTTGAAGACGGAGGAAAAGAAAGATCATGAATAGGAAACATGGTTTTCTTCTACGTGATCCTTCACTTCTTCCTCGCCCTCCGTCTGTTCCGATTCCTTTTCCTGCATGACTTTCTTCTCTTTCACTTTTTTTCCATTTTCCCAAGGGCCCATGTGTCAAGTGTTATCTTAAGTGTCTTGGAATATCGCCGATGGGATGCAGCACGAGAAGCATTTTTTCTGAAAATTTACGATCGCTATAAGAGATGCGAATTTGACCAACACTCAGAGATGCAGAGAACTCGCAAGACAAGAAACGATCGTCTCGGACGCTATGCTATTCACACGAGTTTCTCTGTGAATCTGAACCGTGGAGATTCAAAACGTGTTCCGTGACCTGAAAATATTTCGGTCCAATGCACCATGAAAGACTTTGACGTGAGGATGCGCAACTGATCTACTTTCGAAAAGTAAGATTAGGCTTTTTTCTTCGATAGAAGAGGAGGAAAGGATATCCTTGATACCCAAACGAATTCAACAGTTATATTCTGTAAGTCATTTTTCTTTCTCTGACCAAGAAAGTAAGAGCGTTTGAAATAAAACATACATAACCCAAAAATGTCGTGAGGACGAAATTGGAACGTGGATAAGAAAAAAGAAGAAAAACTGCAAAAGGTTTTACAAGCCCGTACGAAAAGGAGAAAAGGCCCTATACTCCTTTTTATATATTTGATATACTGATAATGGTGATGTAATGGTATTTATGAACATAGTTAATTATTAGAGGATAGTTAATTAGAGATCAATCCAACAGATTCCCGTAAAGGGATATTTTGAAATGAGACAAATTTATATCTGAAGATGATTCGACTCGTGGCCGGCTTCGCCTTCCAAGCCATACTTCTTGGAATCTCCTTGAGACCCTTGTCAATGGAGTGTGGATCGACCCAAAATAAAATAAAAGAAGAAGAAATATAGAAGGAAGATATGGAGAAATGATGCATGAGAATTTGGAAGTGAAGCGACCCGAGCGTGAAGGAAAGTGATCTTATCCCTCTTTCAGGTCCGTTTATCAGTCGGAGACGGATTCGCGATTCCCGCATACTTCCCAGTTTTTCGTCCTTAAGTGTGATTGCTATTCGCCCTTTCGGAAAAATCTCATTCGTCTCAATTCAGATCTCGATGATTAAGCTCTCGGTAAAACAAACGAACGTCACCCATGAAAGAAGGAATCGAGGGAGAAGGCCAGCTGTGCATTCGAGAGCCAAAGGGTCTGCAATCTTAGGTCCTCTTCAGGCCCAGTCTCAAATGAGGCGAATTTTGGGTCTGCTTTTTGGTGCAGGAGAGGCCCTTTACTGTATATAAGGATATGAAAAAATGCGAATTACGAAAAAATATAGTAATGGAAACAAATGGAACATTTTTTAACGTTTTCATTCATTTAATTTTAAGAAATTAGTAGGAAACTTCGAAAATTCAGAAAAATATTTAAAACAGTTTATCGAAACATTTTACTGCAAAAAGTTATTTAGAAGAGAATAATTTTAGTGAAAAAAAATTATTTCGACATCTCCAGATTTCATTTTTAAAAACATGTCAACTACAGGATCTTTTTTTATTATTAAACAAGTGTATGGCGCTTCCGTTCGGCACAAGGATTTTCCTTTGCAACGGCAAATAAGGAAAAATTCAATTTTCTCGAGTGCATCTGGTTCCGTTTGAAGACTGCCATCACACCATGCAGTGCTTCCAGCTGTTCACTCATATGTAATGAAAAAAATTCCATGCAAACCAGACGAGACCTGTTAACGTGACAACTGTGTGAGTGCCACAGACGACTGCTGGTATTCCGTGGAAATTCGAGGATAAGGTCGAGACATCTGTTCCAGAGGTCCCAAGAGAACAAGAGAATCCCAGGCCGAAGGATTTCCTCTTATGGGAAGCAATTTGTAACGCGTCTCATAGACGCATTGCAAATTGCTCTGCCCATGTTTCCCAAGGATTTCAGAGAAAGACCCGAAGTGTGTTTAGCATCCTATCCTTTTGTAATTTTCATGAGTTTATTGCAACTTTCTCATCGGGCAATGAATGGCAAGTCCGGCTCGACTTGTTCGGTTTTACCATTTGTGGAAGTAGAAAATTAAAAAAGAAAATGCGACAGAGGTGTCATCTCGCGTACCGTGAAAGAGAGCATTAGATTTATGGGATGGAATTTGTCTTCCAAGCAAAATACATCACCCTCATGAGTGAAGATCACAATGGACTTGATGGAACCGTGGATGCACCCTTAGGAAGTAATTTAGTACAAGACTTGACACGAAAATCTCGTCATCCGGGGACACTTCTCGCCGAAGGAAGAAAGCTGGGATTTAAGCGCGGCTAGACGATGGATGTCTTTTACGATCCCGGAATGACCCTTCACGGGATCGATACAGGTCTCGGAAGCCTTATCGGCTGACGCTTTCACGAAAGAATGGCTCGTTTGAGTCCTTCAGACACTCGTAAGGCGAGGTGAGATGAGCCCCATTCCATTCATACGCGACAAATGTGAAAGGCATCGTGAGGGAAGCTGATAGGGTTAGTCACGCTAAGGACTTGAAGACGAGTCTCATACAGCCCCCTAGCTCCATCGATGAGGGAAATGCATAGATGGGGGAAATGTAATCGTATCTATACTATGTGGGCAATTTCCCGGCTGAATGTCGGCAGAAAGAGAGAGTAACAGTTGATTTGGCCAATACAGCCGATAATCGTGCCTCTTAGCTGCGAATCCGCTTCATGCCAATTCTCCTGTGGTTACCAATGATCATCCTTCACTCCAGGGGTTTCTTCTTTCTCTTCCTTCGATGTTTCCTTTGAAACCCTCAATGCCTCTCAGACCATGCACCTCCTGGCTTTTTAAAGCCAAGTTAACCGCAAAGGAAAGATTCATGTTCATTCTCTTCAGAGGAACGGGACAGGGTTTACTGCACATCTCTTCATCATTTGTATTCACGGAAACGTTGAATGCCTTACAAATGACATACGATGTCTTGGATGGTATGTGAAGTCCTGGCTTAAAGACTTCGGAGTTGGGTACTGGATGCTAAAAGTAACTTACTGCCAAATATAATAATTCTGACGAGCTTGAAATTTTCCTACCTGTGAATCAAACAAATAGTATTTTTAATTTTATTTACGGCCAGTAAAATAGGATCTTCAGGAACATGGGAATACGTGCTTCACCACGGAATATAATGATTAGGTCGATGTCAGTTTATTACCTCCTCCACACATACTCACGAAAGAAATCGTGTGGGAACATAACGTCCGGGACTTCGAGCTTCTATTCTTCTGTTTCATAAATGAATTTTGAGTAATCCTGAAAAAAATAAAACGCATATCTTCCTATATATTTTTCCTGAAGAGAAAAGAAAATCTTGACCAGGGATACCATACGCTTAATAAAATTCTCACTTTTTCCTACGTTGTCGAAAATGCTGAATGCGTGCAGGAGGTGGAGGAATGGGGTATGAGAAGAAGGAGATGGACCTCATCCGAGAGCTAATGAGCGGCTACATGAAGTCCGTGCGACCGTGCCGACATTCCCACGAGCCGGTGGATGTCTCCTTCGGCCTCGCCCTCACTCAGATCATCGACGTCGTCTGTTTCCCTTTCTTCTCTCCATCATTAAATTATTCTTTCCACGGCCTGCTTTCTAAGCCTTCTTTTGATTCTATAAGCCGTCTTTTCGTCTCGATAAGCTTTCTTTTCAAGCTTTCGTTCGATCTAAGCTTTCTTTCGAAGTTTTTACTTGCTGCTTTTACGGGCTCTCTTTCCATAAGGAGATTCATCAGCTGAAAATCTGAAATCTATCATCTCGGTATTCATTGCAATCGTGGTAGAAGATACTATCAGATATATCAGTTACCATAGTTACGAACGTGATTCCATGTCTGAATGAATCCCATGATTCAGTGCCAATGTCTCCCGAACGAATTCTCAGTGCAATATTATGTAAAGTGATGGAAAACCCGTTTCTGAAGTCTCATTCGAAACCGATGGGAGCGTGAAACAACCATGGCCTAGAGAGATTAAATGCATTGCATGTCACTGAGGATTATAAAAAGAATTTTTTTTTTTTTTTACAGGATGAGAGAAATCAAATTCTCACGACCAACTGCTGGTTGAAGGAGGTGAGTGATTTGTTTCCATGAAAGCGGAAAAAGCGGACAAGCCTCATTCTTTCTGATGGCGAATCCCAACTTAATCCAAGCTTTCTTTCGTCGTTGATACTTCCAGCCCCATTAGGCTTTCAATTTGTCATCTCTTCCCGACTCTGTGCATTGTCATTCGCAGAGATAAGTCCGACAAACCAGTCGCAGAGGAAATTATGTGCCGTATAGGACATTCTCATTAAGAATCAGGAATGGCAAAGCGAAGGGCAGGGGGAATCAAATTTGCATGCACTTTTTCAATAAGTCGATCGGTGTGCCTGTGGAGCGAAGCCCAGGAACTTCTTTCCGATCGACCACTATTTGATAAGTGATTTCCGAACGTGCAGCTACTTCTTCGTCGGATTAAAATGCGACTGAAATCATGTCTGTGATCAGCACTTTCCCGTTGGAAAGATGATACTTTTTTTTCCAACTCCGCGAGTAGAATCCCAAAGAGAGACGAGGAGAAAAATTGAATCGGGTGCATGCCGACTGCATCGCATCGGAATGGAAGGGTCAATTAAGTAAAGAGGTTTTCCATCATCTCATATTCAGTGCTCCCTCTGACATCTGGCATGCATTCTCTCTCGTCGAGGAACAGCGAAGCATATCGAGAGAGCGTGGAATCTGCGATGCCGTTTCCCCTCCTGGTGCGCTTTTGGCAAGGATACGCTGGACTCCCCCCCGAGCCTTGGCCTCATTATGTGGTCGAGCTACACGAAAAGTCTCTTTCCCACTTTTCTCCCCTTTCGTGCATGACGACCCGCGTCGGCCCGTTGGAGTGCCTTGCGGAAAGTATCGTTTCCCGAAATGGTATGGACACGTACAAGTCGAACGCGCACGATTATCTTCAGCTGCAACAGAGACATCGGCAACGAAAAGATGCCGATTCGTGGCGAGACCCGTTCCTCGGCGTGTCGCCATGCACGACCTCGACCAGACCGACCGGCAGCCGAGCTGTGACGACGGACGAAAGTTTGCAAAGTCCGCTTGCATCACAGCCGCGATTCCCACTCAAGGCTCTTACGTCACAATGCAAGGGCTTATCAGCGCAGGATGCTCTCCCATTCTGGAGTTAATCTCTGGATATGGCTTAAAGAAAAGGAATCGATTCGTCTACTGTCGTTTAAGTAAAGGGACCGTAAGATGTAAAAATGACCTCAGCTGAAAGGCGGTTGACTAAGTTTCCTCAGGATATTAAATGGCCTTTAAGTGAAAAAGTCTCTTAAAGAATCAAGCCTAACAGATAGGGGTAATTAAAATCCTTTAGCAGTTAAAAGGAAGAAGAAAAATCGAACCCGAGGTCTCCTATCTATTAAATGAGAGACTTTTCTCGACCCGCCTCCCAGAGGAGACAATTACCTGGTTTTATTAGCCAAAGATGAGGAAGTTGGAAAATGGCGGTTGTATGGTTCGAGTGCATGAAGGCGGTTTGTCCCTAGATTCCAGATGGCCGTGGAAATAGGAGGAACCAGCAGCAAAAAAAGACGGGAGAAAGAAAGGCTATCGAGGGGGAGCGCCCCATCCCATCAAGAAATCTCAATATTAGTTGCATAGCAGCCGCAATCAGCGATTCGGTAGGCATAATGTAGGAACGGCGATGTTGATTGGACCGGACGGGAATGGAGACCAGAGTTCTGGCCTCCTCTCTTTTCATATCTTTCGGCGTGACCACGAGGGAGAAGTGCCGCTTCGTCGATCCCATCCACCGATTTGTTATAGTGGTTCTCACGCCTGCGAATAGTTTTGTTCTGAACCAACAGACGCTATCGGCATCGATGGCCACACGAGCCCCCATTCATTAGGGAATGGTCTCGTAACGGAACGAAGGTGCGGGGATTAGACATCGCGACTCATTGTTCGACCCTGCGAGAGGGCAATTGGCCCAATTTCTTTCCTATGGTGATGCCCGCCCAAGCGGTGCCAGATCGCTGGTTCAATTCCTTGGATATCGATGATTTTGCGTGTATGGACCGGAATGTAAGGTAAGGAAAACCCAATCCCATAGAACGTGCCTGGGAAGTCCTTGGACGACGTGTATCGAGCCGTAATCAGTCATCACTCGTCATTAGAAACCTTACCATTGCCTTCACGGAATGGACTTGAATCCTGTTGGAACTGAAGACTTGGAATGGGTGCATACCACGCCACTGTCAGGCCTTCGTTCCTACCCTAGGTCACCACATTCTAGGCTTTGAGCACTGCTAGAGAAGTAGCGGGTGGGAAAAGGCGATATATGTACAGTATGCCTGGTCAGAGTGCACACTGTGGAACTTCATGCAAAGAACTATTTCAAAATCATACCATTCATACCATGGAATCATGCGGCGTAAGTGTATCTTCCTGTAATTTTCATACAATTTTTTAAATACAGTATTTTAATAGTATCAGCAATTATTTTGACCGAGGGGGCACCAGAGGTTTGGGCAGGCAGGTGATCCTTCAACTTATTTATTTATATTATTATTTTTTATGATTAGCCGAGTAGCTTCGCATTTCACAAAAAAATCCTGATATAACTCTCTGGTTCTTTCTAAAGCGAGACAAGCCCATTCACGATTCGATTTTCCCGCATCGTTGTAAACTGATGAGCTTGGATATATGGCCGTTTGGTAAAAACCAGGAAGCGGATTTTTATGCGCTAATAAGTTTTAAAAAAATATGCGTATATATATATATATGCGCTTTAAAATGCCAAAATATGCATGAAAAATGCATGAATACGGAAAAATATGAAAAAACACTTTTTTTTAACGAATTTTTTGAAGAAGGAATGTCAATGAACGATTCGTGCCTCTACTGGACATAGTTGATCGATTGCTGTCACAGCCAGCAGCAAAGCCAGGAACTCGCAAATGTAGACTTAAAGGAAACGAACGGGGACCAGGATTTCATAAACTTCTCGGGAGTAGCAGATGGATTCAGGGCAGAGTTAAAGGGAGAAATATGCATAAATATGCACATATACACGTAAATATGTACCTGCTGTGAAAAACCTAAAAAAATTTAAATTTTATGCGCTTTTAAAATGTCAGATATCTTCTCCTCTATCAATAAAGCATGATCCTACCTGGATTGCATGTTCCTTGGAGGCTGCAGAAAAAATATGCATTTGCATAAGAATCTGCTCCCTAATAATGACATCTTCCTTTATACATACAAAATATGCAATGCAAATATTCGTATTTGCTTATTTTGAAGGTTAAGAACGATTTGATTCAGTCGCTGAAATATCCATGGAATAGCCTCTTGGGAATTCTCAACTCTAAAATAAGTATTATAAATAAATATTATAAATAAGCAATAAAAACTATTTTTTTTAGAACCACTTTCCGATCGTATGGTTCCGATTTGTCTGTATATCACAATAATCTGTCGTTTTGCTGCTAGATGCAATGTACGAGGGATCGTGAAAATAGTACATGCTCATGGCGGGGTCCTCTCAAGTTTGAATTATTAAGTTTGAATCCTATGTTTGAATTTTTGAACCACCGGTTCCTCATTAGCATTTTGCAAGGTAGAGAATCGTTGGGTCGCTCGAAATGTCGAGGAGAATGTAAATTCATCCGCGATTAGTACTTCTCTTGGGCCGAGCTCGAATCTCTTCGTATGAGTGACGTTATGCGGTGTGACAAGCCTGCAAGAGCGGAGAAATCCGAAACGGTTAGAATAATGCAGCCGCGCTCGAGTGAATGCGGGAACTGTGAAAGAGGCTGGAAAGTAGAAAAATGGGAACGAGACTCGTCGTTGGAGGGTACGAAAAAACATGGACCCTCAGACCCAGACGAGGATAATTCTCGTCCGGTCTGGATCGGACAGTGATAACTTCCTCTTTGTGTCTTCTCATTCGTTTACGGCGGGTGCTCGTAAAATCGAAGAGTGGAAACCCTAATCCTCGAGGCGTGGAAGCCTTAACGTTTTCTGATCCTTGAAGGCATGACGACGATCTCGAAGAAAGCCGTTTATATCGTGAAGGCTGCTTCGTTTGCGGAGACGCAACGCCGAACTATTTCTTTTCCACTTCTGCATCTCTCATCATCGGGTATTCCCGAATCTGCAGAAATTTTAAATCTCTGCTGTCAGAATAACGGAAGTAACGAAAAGTGACTCCTGACGGTGTCAAGAAGGCATGGAAGTGAGTTGGAGTGTCTCGGATCTGGCAGAGAGCCAATGAGAGGGGGAAGCTTCTATTTGCGTTGGATTTAGGAATGCTTTCCCGCGTCTCTTCCGGATGTCTTTAGCTGCAGATGGAAAAGACAAAAATGAGGAATGTGCACTCTTTCTCGAAAAAGAAAGAGTTCGACTGAAAGCAAACATCCATGTGCCCACCACTTCAGTTTTAGAGGAATGAATGCACCGTACACTGGCGTGCCCTCTCAGGGGTGGGGGGTCATCTCAGAAATGCTTACGTTTTGATCATAAAAGCAGGGTGGGTTATCGAATTTTCATACGTAAGCCCCCCCCATTGGGATTTTCTGGGTAAGCTACTGGCACTGGATAATTCCCCTAGAGTGATATCTGATCCGAGACGAGAATATTCTCGGATTCTCCTCTCGGAGCATGCTTGAATGAAGACAGAAGCAACCGGCTCGATTCGTTTCTCGAAGTTTTAAACAAACCTAAGCTTTCGAGTTGAATCCTCGTTCTAACTTCAAACGAAGTGAAGCAGGAATTATATGGCGGAGACTTTTTCCAAGAAGTTTCACGTGAAAGTCTCCATGCGAATGATAAAAGTGGAGATAAAGAAGCCAAACCTCGAACACGTGTACCTTCTGAGTAAAGGACTTCTACCACCGAGAGTGTCTCGACAGTCTTGGTCGGCAGTCGACCATACTTGGAAATTAAACGTGGAGAATATCGAATCACGAATGGGCTCCAAGACAAGATCTCGTGTGGTGGGGCAACGCAAAGGCCAACTACCCAGAGATAAGGTGGAGCTCCTCGTCTCTCAATTCTTTCATATTCTACAGGGAATCCCAAACAATTACTGATGTTAAGAAGGCTTTTCAAAGATTGATTTCAGAGTCCTGCCCAGAGCTTCATAACTGATTCAGTAAAAAAAAGAACCGGGTTCGTGATGGAAGGGGGGAAATGACAAGACATGAAGAAAAGGGGCATGATCCATCCTCAGTTTTCGGCTCATTAAGCAAGCAATCAAACTCATTATTTTTCCTCATTAGTTGAGATTAAACTCCCCTTGTCGAGAAACATTGAAGAAGGAAAACATGAAAAAGAAACGAGTGAAGAGCCTGCACATCAGCCTGAATTTGGCATGATGATTGCAGGACGAGGCCTAACATAAATCTTCTTTATTGTTTTTTCCTCGATCTAGGTGTGGAAGGACTACGGGCTGCAATGGAATGCGTCAGAATACGAAAACGTGACGGTGGTCCGCATCCCCTACGACCAAGTGTGGAAGCCGGACATCATCTTGTACAACAAGTGAGTCCATCTCGTCCGTCTCCCGCCCACTCCGCCCTCGTCGAGTCTGCCTCTCATGCGAGAGGAAAGAGAAGACGCCGGAAGTCCGTATCTTCCATCATGCTCTCCATGGAAGAGGACGAAACATAATCTCGTTTAATGACCTCTCTACTACCCACTAAAAGCCTAAACCCACGAGAGATGGATGGATTTGTTCCGCCGATCATTTGAATATTGTCACCCTCGTTTAGAGTGATGGATGAGGATGGAGGTGCCAGGCTCATTTCAGCCCTATTCCGAATATTGGCCCGGGATCAAAAGATACTCTGCCAAAGGCCTAATGCGTACGAATCGAACTTAAAATTGCATGAGGTTTACGCCTTGTTGAAGAAATCACGGGGCTTGCAGAGAAAATGGCTCTGGTCGAGATTTCCGAGTTATATTTAATGTCACACTAGGTCGATTGCATGGACTGTTAACGTGGATAAATCGATGAAGAATCTGTCAAGAAGAGAGAGAATCCTCTTAAATTTTCAATCTCTTGGTTTCCCCCAAGTAATCTATTAAAGTTTTCCTTCCCGCCTGTATTTGACAGCGAAATGCGTGAGTTTCTCAAGTTGCCTAGTGGTTGCGGGCAAGCAGATTTCCATCCTCTCGGTTTCCCATCAATTTCCCTCCACATGTGTCCGGCTCACTTGTCATGAGGGTCTTCTTGAAAAGCGAATACAAAGGAATCACTATAGAAATGTGACCCTTGGACCGGGGCTGCTTAAGGGTGAAAGAGTAAGGAAGAGGGGGAATGCGGTCTCGGGCCATCAATCCCCAATAGCAAGAGGGATGAAGCTGATATGAAGAAGGGCATTCGGGATTCCGATCATCTCCAGGGAGACTTTCAACCGTATATTGCACCTCCTTTCTGTATACCCCCCGAAAGTTTTCCCTTTTCTTTCTCTTTCGCGGATTTTCCTCTTCGGTCACGTTCTTGCACTTTCGCCCTCTGTTTCAGGAGGTTCTTTATCCCTTGTCGTTACAGTGCAGACAGCCAATACAGCAGTGCGGTATTGAGCACGAACGTGATCGTCAAGTTCACGGGAGAGGTCGCGTGGCTCAGCAGTGCCATTTTCAAGTCTTCGTGCCAAATCAACGTGGAGTTTTTCCCCTTCGACGAGCAGAGGTGCTCCATGAAATTCGCTTCCTGGACCTACGGAGGCGATCAGGTGAGAAAGAACTCGGGAAGGAGAAAATGAACGATGAGGGAAAAATGGCCAAGAATTTTGGCAAAGGCCTCCTAGAAAGTATTACCAAATGCTTAAATGATAACACAACGTCAAACTGAAATGCTTTTCGTGAATAGACATTTCGTGAATATAAAGAAGGCAAATAGGAAGACTGGAGGGGGAAGGGGGAGGGGAGAACTCCCGAAATGTGGGGAGAGGAATATTAAAGCAGTTCTCTTCCAAAGAATATCTTCAGAGGATTTATGTGCAAACATTTTTTCTGCGCGTGCCGTTATACCTCAATCCATTGTATAAGCCACCCACAATCAATCGTTTATGCTCTTCTAAATGCTCCTTTTCGCCCACGGCGATGTCATCGTATGCAGTTGAAAAGTGAGACATGGTTGCCCGATGTCATCAACTGTGCCATTCACTTTCCATCCAACTTCCCTGGCTTCTGTCTTTCTATGCCCATGCACTCAGCCCAGAGACAAAAGAGAAAAGATCTTTCGGCTCAAAGTGATGGCTATATTTATCATGACAGATATCAATATATCATGCTTATTCAGTCATGCTGTCATACAAATGAAACGACATGACTACAATCGCATTTGCACCGAGGAATCAATCACTCACACGACCCATTGTTCCAGGACGTTCTCATCGTCTACCCTTATAATGGTCCTTTGCCGGATTCCGTTCGTACTTGAGTTTCGAGTCAAGTAGCCAACCGAGACGAGCTGAGCAAGTTAAGATTGTTTTAGGGTTCACTATTTCCTTACGTCTATTTGGAGGCCTCACTCGTTAGCCTCTTCTGACCGAGTAGCTGGATACTTGTACCTACTAGTAGAATAATTTTGAGCTACTGTGTTTTCAGTGAATGGTAGACTTAATTATTTTGCGAGTCCCTTGGCCAATTACATGGCATTCTTCCGGATGCAGGCGTGGGGGTGAGGGGGATCCTCAGAGGACAGACAGGGGACAGGCAACGGATAGCGAGGCGTCCAAATACTGCCACCTTAGATTGACGAGAAAGACTTAAAATCTCGCCAAAAACTTTCTGCGGCAGAAAGTCCAATGCCGGTACTTTAAATGTGTCAGCTTCAAGAGAAAAATATGCTCATGAATTAGCACTCGAATTGCTATATGTTAGTTCAGGAAACCATTTAAAAGTGTCCACTTCCACTTCCTCACTCCCACCCGACGTTCGGTATGGTGGATATGCACTGGCGTATGGCAGCTACACATCTTGCAAACGCATGACTCCATCAATAATAGAGTTGAAAACGTCGTCCACATTTTAGATAGTTTCTCCACGAGGGAGGAAAGACTCGGCCCGTCAATGCATCAGGAAAAACCCCTTGCAGATACGTTTCAATTAGAAGTTCAGAGAAGCTTTTAACGAAGAGGTTTCATGATGTCCTACAATGTGCCTGTTTACGCTTTTTAATCGGACTCAGGTGAATCTGCTGCGAGACACGGAGGAAGGGGACTTGACGAATTACGTGAAGAATGGCGAATGGGACCTCATTGAGATGAAGGTGGAACGGAGCGTTCAATATTATTCGTGTTGCTCGGAACCCTATCCTGACATCACATACACGATCGTCCTCAGGCGACGACCCCTTTTCTATGGTATTACATCTTCCGTGCCTCTTTTCCTTCTTCTTTAAAAATTTTTCACCCTGTACTTACAGCGAAAGTATGTCAATGCCGTTTTTTGTATTCCAAGATACCAAAACGATATCTCATCTTTTGCGAAATTACTTTTTTAATGCTGCCGGGTGTCATAAAAATGATCTTTCTTCAATGTTTTTTTCCCTATCATTTCAAGCCGAAAAAGAAACCAAAATGATGTATGCCGAACCGAACAAAGCGATGAGATTTCTCTTGAGACGTGTCTCTTTTCTCAGCTCCTGTGAGAAACCAGCTACGATCCATAACCGCTAAAAATTATCTGGCGCCTGGTAACGTGATCCACAAATGGTATATCATAGCCATATGGCGAATGGCAGGGTTACTGCATGCAGTTCACGTTGCCGAGGAGAAATGATCCTTATCCATTTTCACCTTCTACGGCTCTCTGCTTTGCAGAGATTGTTTCCCCTTTCAAAGAGTGAGAGTGCATGGGAGGCTTTAAAGGATGAAAGGTGAGGACCATATCGCATGCGAGAATCTCAAGTGGAGGAGAATCGATGCAAACTACACGGGGTTTTAAAAAAAAAAGGTGCCAAATCATAATCGTTAATCCTTTCATGGCTGAATTAAGAAAACGTATAACTAGGAAATATTTTCCCCGCTTTTTCTATAGAACAGGTCTAGCTAAAGACGGAGCTTGCAGAAAATTTCAAATATTTACTCATATATTAAAAAACGGAATTTTTTAATTACAAAAATCATCGGCAAAAAATATTGAATAACAGGCCATTGTTCACACATGGGGAGCCCCTAAAACTTGGCCTTTGTCAGGGAAATTTATATCAGAGTGCTCGGAGCTCCCACCTGTCTGATCCTCTGTATTCGTCTCGAGTTTCAAATTCAGCAAGAATGAGAATTGAGCGTTTGGTCATGTACATTTCCGATTATCTACTACGCCCTTTGGGGTTTCGGCGTAGCAAATTTTTTGCTGCTTTTGTTCTTTGACTGAGAAAATAGGAGTTTCAAAGTGACACACAAGTAATTCCAGTTCAAGGTGGGCAACAAATTCTATTTCCTTTCTGAATGGATCAGTTACTCCTTAATAATAAAATGGGAAGAACCAAAAGCAATTACGTCCTTGTACTTAGGATGCAAAGAGAAGGAGATAGGAATTTAGGAATTCCCGTTTCTGTTTCGTTTTGGTGGGAGAGGGGCCTATATGGTGGCAAAAAAATAGGTATCGATGAATTTGTCGCCTGGCAGTATTCAACCTGATCCTGCCGTGCGTGTTGATCACGGGCGTGGCCCTGCTGAGTTTCTACATGCCGTCGGATTCGGGAGAAAAGGTGACTCTGGGGATCACGACGCTCCTTTCCATGACTGTCTTCCTCATGGTGATCGGAGAGAGCATGCCCCCCACCTCCGAGAAACTTCCCCTCATCGGTAAGGGCTTCCCGGAATTTCCTTTCTCTGGTAGAGGTCTCAAGTTTACGACGAGACTTTTAGGCATTTCTGGGTTCTTCGATTTCTCATGCTGAATCCGAGGTCGTGTACCGATGGCAATGCGGATGCTTTGTAAGGCCATCTTCTTTGTACGAGTGAGCCAGTTGCGTAAAGCGCTCTAGTCAAAGGAATTTCCACCTACCAGTCTTTCTGACCGTGGATTTAACACAACGATATGTCAATGTAGCAAACATGGCGCAAATACACAAAAATGTGTGATAACACAAATGATAACACAGCGATAGTGTTCTTAGCTGAAAGTGAAACTCTTTCAACTGTGGCCAGAGGTACGATCGAAAAAAAATAATGACCATTGCTTACCGCGTCACCGTGGCTCAGTGGATAGGGGCTCGGGCTAGTACGTGGGAGGTTCAAGTTCGAATCCGACCGGTGGTAGGTATTCTCCTGGGCCGACAGCCCACCCGACTGCTTTCGGGTACAACCTGCTCCCCCTTGGGCTCAAGCATAGGCCACTCTGTGCTCCATTGTGTGAGAGGTAGGGGTTTGGTGCGCCTCAATAGCACCCGATATATCGGCCCTGGCGGCCCGATGTGCAGTGATGGAAGGCATTCAGGCCTAAGCGGCATCGAAGTTGCCGTCACCTGCCCCGGGCCCGTGAAAACGGGATACACAGTGATAGAGAGAGTGGGAAGGTGTAGCAATGCCGTCAGGGTTGTCCGATCTAGAACCCCTTTCCCATTCTCGTATCTGTTGGCCGCTTGTGGCATTTGTCCCTTGTCTGTGTGTGTGTCCGTCCCAGTCCACTTTTTTCATTAAAAAAAAAGAAAAATATGACCATTGCTTGAATTTGTAGACGGCTCGAGACACTTGTGATGCTAAACCGACTCATGCGTTCGGAATCCATTGCCATTTGCGGAAGTCTTCATCGTATCATGGTAAATCAACAAGATGCCATCAATAATTAAGCCAGTCGCGATGATTTATCGAGTAATTTCGAAACTGGTCAGCTCATTCGCTCGATACTACTAGGATCTTTTGCGCCTAAATCTGTGACAATGTCATGTGACCCAAGAAAAGCGCTGTTTTACTGCTCTTGCAAGCAACTCCTTCCTCGATGATCCAGTTTGTGAAGGAAGCTAATAGCATTTGTGATTGTCGGGTCGCACGAAAGGGCTGTACTACGGGGTGACGATCTCGCTGGTATCGTTCGCTACGGGGCTCTCGGTGGTCACCCTCAACATCCACCATCGAGGGATGAGGGGGAGGGAAGTGCCCGGAGTAGTCAAGAAAATCGTGTTCGGCTTCCTTGCCAAACTCATGTGGATCCGCCTCGATCCACCCGACCATCTCCGGCTCAAAGCCAGGGTATGTATTTCCTTCTTCCTCTCGGGTCTCCTTTGTCGAAATCGGAAGCACATCCGCACTAGAGATGCACTCGAGATAAATACTGCATGTTTCCACGAGATAAGATCTTATCGGCCGGAAAACGATGAGATATTTTCTTCTGCTTGCTTATAATAACAGGAAGCTCTCTACCGACGGAATCACTTTTGTTCGGTTTCATTTTGCATTGCCGCAAATCTCCCTGCAGCCTTATTCTTGAGATTTCTCATGAAAATTTTGAACCTGCCGCCCCAATTCCAAGCTTTCCTCGATGGCCCGATGGGGAAGCATCTGTAGTTAATCCATGATTAAGCAGTAGTAAGCTCACCGAGTCGAAGAACATGCTCAGCAATCGAAAGATGCTATTATCTTGCATGTCACAACAGGCAAGGAGATCCAATTCCGAGTGCCCATATTCCGAGATTCAAATGAGTGCCCTGAGTACGATGGAAATGGCTCAGTCTTCCGAAGAATCCATGCACTTCAAAGAAAACGGCGGAGTCACCCCCAGGTAACCTTTCCTCCCCCCCCTCTCACACTCTCTCTCTCCTCTTCTTTTTTGCCAAATTGAAGAGAACCAGCTGAAGATGGTATCTGCTTGCTATTGAACGGGAATTTTCTACATCGAATGTCATAGGATCAAATGCTGAAACCTCGTTTAGGTGAGAGTGAAGGTTATGTAAGGTGAAGAGCTCCGAAGAATATCCTTGATGTATAAAGGACCCTTTACTAAAGGAGGTTTCAGTATTTTGATCCAAATATGCAAGCGCTTTTCTCCATGTTGCAATTAATATCTTTCGAAAGTGAAGAGCACGAATATATTTTTTTAGGGTTTCTTCAGCATATTTTCGCTTTACTATCATATTCCATCCAGTGACAGAATTTGTCTCTGACCCATTCTTCCAACTAAGTATTTGCATATTCATCCAAAGAAGAAAAAGAGAAGTCCCTGAAACGATTCAATTTGGATGGTATACGTGGCCAGCAGGTTTAACAGGAGGATGGCGCTTGGAGGAGAGAGTTTCGAGAGGCAGTTCCTAAGAGTGCTCAATAAAGTCTATCAGACGATCGAGAAAAATGATTCCCGACTCGCCGAGCAAGACAGGAGAGACACTATTCGTCTCGAATGGCAACAGGTCGCCCTCGTCATTGACAGGTAACGCATTCCTCCTGTCACCAAAATGTCAATCATTATATTCTCGAGCATTTGCTTCATTCCATGGAACATAAATATGGAGTTTTGTTTTAATTTACTTTACTTACTTTATTATCATCTAATATATATAGACGATCGTGACTGAATGACTGACGCTAATTCTAACCACGTTCTAGAAAGGTTAGAAATCTGAATCTTGGTACACAGGTACCTATTGGAATGCAGAGTTCAGAAAAAATCCGAATTTGGAGTACATGCCTTGGGGGTACACATTTTGGGGAATAAGTTTTTATTGTGACGGATGAGGATTGCATCGAGAGGGTTGACTGGATGTCCCGGGTTCGGTGGTGTAGTACCAGCACACCTGACCAGCAATCAGGAGGTTCAATTCCCAGCCATTCCTTGGCCGGGAATTGAACCCGAATCGAACCATATCCTTTTGGCCTCTCATGCCTTCCAAGTCCCGTTACTCATTCCCCCTCCGAAACAATATTTTTGCTTGAGTAAAACGGAGACACATAGAAAGATGAAACTTGGCATGGACGTGCCTACCGAGATGATGAGTTCAGGAAAAACATAAAATTTTAGATCCATGCCATGGGGGCATATTTTGGGGGGGCCGACGTTTTCAAGTAATTTTTTTGTCTTGGCGTATTGAGCTAGTGTGGAAAGATGAAACTTGGGACATAACTACCTATCGGGATGCTGCGTGTAGAAAAATTCAGACTTTGGAAGTAAATGCCCTGGGGGTACAAATTTCAAAGGGAGATGTTTTTAAATAATTTTTTTCGCATCAGTTAAACTGATGAACATGGAAAGCTGAAACTTTGCATGAATGTGACTACTGAGACAAGGAGTTAAAGAAAAATGTTCAGTCTCGATACATCCCCTGGGGGGAATTTTTTCGAGGGGCGATGTTAAAAAAAAAAAATTTGTCGTGGCGAATTGGACAGAAATGGAAAGGTGAAACTTGGCACACGTATAAGTGACATGATATTATTGAGTTGAGGGAGTATTCAGCTTTCATGGTGTATCCCCTCCGGGCATAGCTTTTGGCTGAGTCGGATTTTCAAAAATGCTTTTTTCACCAGCGAAAAGGGCAAACTTATAAGGTTGAAACTTTGTGGGCATGTATTGGGTTGTAACATATATTCCCGCCGTTTTTATATTTTGTTTGTTTTCACTCCATATTTTTTAAGTTTGGCAAAGTGGATATAGTCATTCGAAAGAGCGTTCTTTCCTCTACAAACTTATTGCCACCATTTTTCCGAATAACTTAATTTTACTTAACTTTCAGGTATTTGAAATGGAAATACCAGGCGGCAAGAAAACCCATTTTCGACACTTGCTTTATTTCGCGTTTCGCCGTAATCAAAAAGCAGCCGAAGCAGCTTGGGATATTTGTGCCGTTTACGGAGAGGGTGNCATCAGTCGAACTTCGCGATTTTGGTTCACGTTTGTCTTCATCAAAGTTGAAGTGGCCTGTGCTGAAGCGCTGAAACCACTTGAAAACCATCGTCTTCTTTGGAGCATTCTTCTTGAAGATGCGACCAGTTTTTGGCAGCACTCTTTAGCCGTTAAACCATCGGTAAAGTCGTAAAAAATCATCACTCGAAAGTCACGCACGCAGGGAGTCGGGAGCTTCGCCGCCGGCGCCGGCTGCGCACCCCCAGTTCTTTTGCTTCTCGTATTCATTCTGAAGGAAGGGAGGGAGCAAAAAATCAGAAAAAAAAATACACAACCACTTGAATAATTCCTCTACAAAGCAGAGCAGTTTTCGGTAGGCTGACACTCAACGAACAACGAAATTCCGCGCGGAACCCAGACAACCCTCGTATAAGTGACATGATATTATTGAGTTGAGGGAGTATTCAGCTTTCATGGTGTATCCCCTCCGGGCATAGCTTTTGGCTGAGTCGGCTTTTCAAAAATGCTTTTTTCACCAGCGAAAAGGGCAAACTTATAAGGTTGAAACTTTGTGGGCATGTAGTTCACTGAGGATGGATTTCGGTAAATAAAAAAATGGCACTTTTCGGTTAAAACGCCTCAGGACACATATTTTGCAAAAGGCGTATTTTCCTGAATTTTCTGATCCAGCAAAACAGAGGGTGCTAGAAAGTTTAAACTTGGCAAAGAAGTACCTGTTGGATAGCTGAGTAAAGAAAAAATTCTACTTTTATTATATATAGACGATCGTGAGTAGCTGCCTGACTGACATAAGTAGCTATTCGCATGCTGAGTTCAGGAAAAATTCCACTTCGGTGATACATGCCATAGGGGCACACCTTTTCGGGGAACATATTTTCAAACATTTCTCTTTGCTTCAATCAAACGGAGACACATGGAAAGCTGAAACCTGGCAAGAACGTGGCTGCTGACGCACTGAGCTCAGGAAAAAGGTCAAATTTCCAAAATATTTTTGGAGGGCATATTTCTTGGGGACCTTACTTGTTCAAAGAATTTTCCATATCCTAGCGAATCGGGCAGAAATAGAAAAGTAGCAGCTGGCGCAAGCATAACGGACGTTTAACGGTACTTTAAATACGTGTTTGCCATTTTGCAAAGAATAAATGAATTAATCACTATCCAAGGTAATGGAGCGCCGAAGGCGCGACCATAGCTGTTATACTCGTATAACCATAGTTGTTATACTTGTATACTATTATTTACTTTATTTACTTTTGTTTGGTCGCTGTACCTTCAATTTAAACGCAAATGCGCGAACATTTAACAGCGTTGGGTAAGGCAGGTGTCAAACCAAACACGCCTTGTTTCATCCGTAACATCTCTCAATTACTAAATAACCCCATGTTGCAAGGAAGTGCACTGCCTGCAACGGTAATTGATGACGACATCAAACTCCACTTACTGCACCATCTAGGAAATTTCCAAATATTCTCCAATGACTGGAGCTGCTAATGCGGACAAAAGCACCGAAGTTCTTTGGATCGTAGGTACTTGGATGGTACTGATTGCAGTTTCGTGGGTAAGGCCTTTAATGAACGAGAAGAATGGAAGGCTGGGGGGGGGAGAGGTTGATTAGAGGGACCATTATTTGTCACTGAAAGGTTTTTCATGACCCCCCGACATGGGGGGCCGCAATGGTCCGAATCATTTATCCTCATCGTGGAGAGAAGTCCATTACCACAGACAGCCCTATTCAGACTGTCGTCCGTCCGGGAAAAATCACCAACGGATAGAGCAATTGCACAGATCAAATGACTCTGCGCAATTCTGATTGATAATGTTCGATGAATCGAGATCCGATCGCGATTCGGACCGTTTCCTTGGCGAATCCCCTGGGCCGTCTCGGGAATGCGATCTGGAGGGGAAAAAAAAAACTTATCGACTGTCTGTGGTCGCGTCGGGAGATGATTTCTACGCCGATGCATCTTCCATTTTCCTAATTTAGATTCACTGTTGACAAATAGGGACTTTCCACTCTGTTGGAGGCCTGCGAAAGAAAAAAAATGAGAAGGGAGAACGTTACAGAGAGGGTCTCTGTTCCCGTCCATTTAGGATCTTCACTCGACCGAGACCGAACGAAACGTTCAGTAGCCATCGCAAAATAGCGAAGGAAAAGAATAGTTGGAGGCGCAGAGGCCCTCTCATTCCCTTCAGAGGCTCTCTCATCCCCTTCAGAGGCCCTCTCATTCCCTTCAGAAGGAGGAGTTTCAGGCACAGGATACCGATGAATCGAGTCGGTCGGACCATGAATCGGTTACGCAACTTTTAGTCATGCGAGTGAGTCAATATTTGAGTCTTAGATTGGAATAAGTTTTGACTCGGGGCCGGGGTTGGTCCTAGCTCTCGAGGTACATTTTTGTACTTCACCGGTCTCATCGCCCTCATCGTTGTACTTCATGTTGCTTCAGCTGCAGCGGTAAGAAGAAAACCGTACCTTAAATTTGGCTACGGGCTTCTCGCACCTTGAAAGATATTCGGGAAAGCCGATGAAACGAGGAGAAAGAATGTATGATGATATGGTTTCACGGCGCGCATTTCTTGTAAGTTCCACGTTTTGGTTCCAACGTCGAGGAAGAACTCTACTATTGAATCCCTCAGAGTGACACCGTCAGCGTTGGTCGAAAATTTGCTCTCTACTGGATGTTTTCAGGAAACCGATAATTCCAGCAGGAAAATATTAGAACATCGATGCACGCCACTATTAGAAGTTGCGTAGCCTTGCGGGAGAAACAGGTGAAGCACCAACTCATAAAAACAGCAGTGCTATCCTGTCTTCTGCCTGTTTTTTACCGGCCGCACGGCGAGGGACTCCGTTCTTCAGCATCCCAAACGATATCAGTACCGAATAGTGAGGTGTCACAAATGACCTTGCTCTTGTTGCCTCCTTCAACATTTTTTAAATATCTGTCCCTCACAAACTATCGCCGATGACGTCAACGCAATCCATTAGAAACATGTACAACATATTACCAAAAGTATTGGGATCCTCCGATAACATATAACCCCCGAGGTCATGAAGTAGAAGGCATTACTGGAATTCATGAGAATAGAGAGGTTATCTGGAAGCTGTTGCGGTCAGTGTTTGCCAGTAGGGCTCGTGAATCTGAGCTGACGGAGTTTGAACGTGGAATCTTAGTTGGTTGTCATGCTGTCATTTGTCCCAATACTTTTGGTAATATGGTGTATACCTTGATTACGTTGCGTCAGAGATGGCTTTCTATTGCCAGTCTTGTCTACCTCTCTCGCCGTCCAATTATGGATAGGGTAACTTGGGGGAATGTAGTCATTGGGGTAATGCTGCCCTTCACAGTATATCCTCTAGCAGGCTGAATAATTAGTTTTGGCGCATTTAAAAGATAGTTCTATCGAAGAGTGCTTGCAATTTCCGAAATGTCATGACCTGTTCATTAATCCAATACTCACAAAAATTCTGGATAAATCGACGTTTTAAAAGTCATACGCATGCGATTGCTCAACTCATGACTATGAAACTAATACGAGCCTTGAGCAATTAAGCGTTTATTTCCTAATGGCAGCATGCATACAGAAACCATTTGTTCGAAGTAATTCTATTATCCCTCTGGAATGTTTGTAGAGAGCGCTTACCCTATTAGGAGTATGGACACATCCTTGATTTCATGGAAGGACCGCACTGACCTATCGGCAGCGTTAGATTCCTTTTATGTGGGACCTCGGGCAACAATATATCATCCTATCCACATCCTCTGGATATACGCAACGGAAGTTCGGAGATACGCTGGAAGCAGGCGTGAAATATGTAGCGGATGCAAACATGTAACGTCTCCTGGACATCCGCTGGATGTACTCCAGAAATGTTCTTAGCACGAAATTTGAATGCAGGTATATATCGTATACAAAAACACCTTGCACGAAAAGTTAAAATATCCTCCTGTGATTGAAGAATAAAACTCTTTTCACTCTGTCCCAAAAAATTTGTTGGAACCTTTTTCAATTTGTAGCTTCTCGAAATTGGTTCAGACTATCGCTGTGCGCTCTTGAAGGCTGACATCAAATGAGCACATGCATTCAAAGTTGTATCAAAATCCATTAATTAATTTCAGAGATACAACAGCTTATTCCAAGTAAGGTTGCGGCGGACCATTTCCGCCGGCCGCACTCGGCGCGAGCACAGCCAGCCAGAGAGGGAACTCACCATTCCCCCGTCGCAGGAGGATGTGAACCGTGCAGCGTTTGGGTTTCGATCAATGTCACGTGCCTGTTCACAGAATGACACGGCGGGCACCTCGAGCACCTCATCCGAGTGTCAAACAGGAAAGATTAATGCAGTTATATTGGCCGTGTGCATCGTGTCAGCTATCCTGTATGAGGCACGATATCGAATTTAGACTAATGAGCCCGTACAGTTTTGGTGGCATTCCTTTACTGCTGACACGCTCTGAATTACCTCCTGTATTTCAAGAACCAGCGAATGGATATTGTTATAACTTTGCATTTAAGTAAGTCCGTCCACAAAGGCGCACAGCGATAGCCTGAACCAATTACAAGTGGCTAAAAATTGAAAAAGGTTCCACATTTTGGGGGGACAGAATGTATATATGCATACAAGGAAAAAACTGCGCAACGTTTTCTCTGCACTATAGGATACCTTAGTTCTCACTCGTAGCGAATTTTCACTTGGATCTTTAAGTGATGACATCCCTTACACCCACAGTCTATAGATACAGTCTCCCAATCGTGTGCAATGCTACTCAGCCAAAAGCGTTACAATCCTACTTTTCATAGCAGCTCAGCAATCAGGTACTGATATTGACTTCTTCGCTTGTACTCCATGCTGTTAATAATGTATTTTTCAACTGTTTGGCCTCGTTTGTCGTGTCTCAAGATACTCAGCATGTTCAAGTATATTTCACACGTACGACCTTGGGTTGATTTTTGAGAATAGGTCATATTATCCGTAATTCCAGGCTGTGTTTCCCGAACAATCGGTGTAATATAGACTCTTGGGACCAACTTAGAAAGGATCCAAATGCGCAATATCCACGTGTTTTTTTTGCAAGTTCCTTGCTGGGATTGAATAAAGAAGATACAAGCTATATTTTAGAAATATTTGCTAAGTCAAATTCGACGTTGATGGGCCGTTAAGGCTTTCATTTTTTTTAGGACCATATTCCCCCAAATTACCTTACTTTTAATAGAAAGCGAGATTTTGACATGAGCTACTTCTACCTCTCACGCATCCAGGAATGACAAATTTTCAAGGGAGTCTAAGAAATGTATCGTTTAAAATTTTTTTTTTCTGTCACGTTTCCCGATTTAGTAAAAAAAAAAGTCATTTTTCAACATGAAACGCCATCTCGATTTTGCACACCTTCTGTTGCAAACAGAAACCTTGACCTTAGAACTTTCATATCGTTGTAGGGACGTGCAGAGGACTAGCAGGAATCGATGCACAATTCGAAGGACGTGCATCCCCCCACGCGTCCTCATGATTCCTCAATTTATTCTTTTTTTTTTCTTGCTTCATCTTTGTAGGCTGCTGCTGTGGGTGTTCATCGTTGCCACGATCGGAGCCACGTTCGGGATCCTCTACATGTCCCCCCACACGAAGCTCTTCACCATGTGAAATTGTGATACGCTTCGCACCCATCGACGCCTCTCCGGACCACAAATCTTTAATTGCCGAATTCCAAAGTCGTTTCACAGTCATGGCAGCAGGGTAAAGTTTTCCAGGAGCTTCCCGACGACTGCTGAAATTTGTGTGATGCAATGGGAAGCGCATTCCATCCTCCGGGTACCGACGTGAAAGAAGCAGAGAGATATTTGGGATCACGCTGCCCTGTGATTAACGGTGACCCATTTGCGTAATGTCGAAAATTAATTAACGCTGCCGCGAAGTCACAGCGACGTCTTTTATGTGTCACGATTTCCATTGTCATGCCATGTCGTTTCATGTCATGTCTCGACGAACGACTCACCTCGGCGGAAGCTTCTCTTTGTAATCAAACGGTACGAATAGAGAGATGACCTCACTAGGGAGGTTCGGCCGTGAGGGAAACGAAATCTGCCTGGAATTCTATATCTATTTGATAACCTTGATACCATCAGGATCGGAGAGACGAGAATAAAATCCTATATAGGTAGAAGCGGAGGCTTCTCTTATTTCTTGCTATCGGTAGCAAACAGGAATAAAAGAAAAACGGAATCACGTCAACCAGGAAACGAAAGCAGGACTTTCAGGCTGAATCCTTCGCCTGTGAGGGAAGAGTGACGAACATGGGCGAGAAGGGTTCCGGTAGGAGCTCTTCGAGGCTGGTTTTCATCACCGACCCATCCGGCTTGCAGAGGAAGATCGGAAGAGGCCAGGCGAATTCCACCAACAACTGCCTGCAACCACCACAGGGACTGGTGAAATCCTTGGATTCGGCCGCAACAGCGAGGGCGATGAACTTGCGATGCCCTTCCGAGACCCCTTTCACGATCGCCGTTCGTTCCGCACAGATGGTGTGGCCGTACGAAATGCTCTCCACGTTGCAGCCCGTGAACATCGTCTTTCCGTCCTCACTCAGCAGACATGCCCCCACCTTAAATCCACTGTAGCGTGCGTAAGCCTTCTCCCTCGTCTCTAGGCTCAGCTTGATCAATTTTTGAATCCTAGGATCTGATAGGCAAACAATAACGACGATGATGACAGCAACCACATGATCCCGGAATAATGTCACGAAGGAATTTGAGAAAGTGTGGAAGACTTGCCTGATTCATCCATGACACTATCGATCCCTTGACGATGTATTTAGGGTGTCGTTGCTAGGAAACCAGCCACATGTGCAAGCGGTTCACAGTGGAATGAGAATGAGCGCATGAGCGATGCACACCGACTCAACGGATTCTACTAGCTTCCACATGAAGCGGAAAGACCCCTGTTAATACGACTGGAGTTATTTACTCATGAGATAAAATTGAGGAATATTTTTTCCTGAAGATTAAGAACTGGTTCAGCCCGTTTTCATCCCAAGGTCACAAATTTAAATACTTTCTTTTATTACTTTGCGTCCACGATAAGGAAGCCCGTCAGGTGACACGTTTGAGTTGATATATTGATAAATAAAATGATATATTTGGGAGCCAGAATGCAGGAGTGGTCATGTCTTAGATCGAGTGCTGGAAGAATGCGCTTACGAATACTCAAATAGACGTCCTCAGAGTGACGCTGATGTTACGATGCAAAAAATAACTGTTAGCGAGGGAGCAGGATGTGGGAGAAAAACTGAGTGGCCACGTCTTATCATCGCTCTTTCCGTATGCCTCCTCTGATAAGCCAAAAGCCTGAGTTGGAAAGCGAGTAAGAATCGCGGGGAAGCATGCTACGAAGAACAAGGAAAGAAGACTTGGGGGCTAGGGAATCGCCTGTGGCGACAAAGGGTCATCTCGCGATAGCACAGGGCGCCCTGAGAACCAATTTTTAACTCTCTTTTCTCGCGGGATCATTTGAGTTTCCAGTCACGGTGTTCATGAACATACAACAGGAAAAGACTGATCGAGCATCTTTTGCTCCCGCTATGCCTTCCTTCAAACGTTACCACTTTTCATTATGTGCCTTTTCGGCATGCTATTTTCTTGCACTTCATGCTTCGTTTCATGCGCTTCTTTACACTTCATGCTTTGCTTTCTGAGTGAACAACATGACGAGTGTGGTGACATTTTTACAACTTGCACAAATCCTGGAAGTCGTCATGGTCTTTAAATAAATTTTTATTTATTTCATAGGATTCATGAGCCCTGCAATTCTTATTTTAGATTCCTTGTGTGTAGGCAGAGCTTCTGCAAGATTGTCAGCATGAAACCTGAGCAGTCTAAAGGTAACTGTTACGTTGTCGAAATCGGTCCAACATATTTTGTTCTAGCATAATCTCAGTGTTGTCTGATATTTAGTTTTCGGTTCTCTCAGCATGAGATAATTGAGATTTCTAATTTAAAAAAAAAAAACACCAAATAGAAGCAATATGGGTCTAACAGTACATCACATATGTATACAAGTTGTTACCCGTGAAGTATTCAGGGCTTTTCAACTGCGAGTTCAACCCTGTAGATTTCAAATGAGACAAACCTTTTGAATCTGGAAGACTCAATTATATAGGATGAAAAATCGAGTATGCCTCACGGAGACCCTGATAACCGTAGCTTAGAGCTCGGTTATCTGCGGGCTGGCCCGATCGGCCTGGCCTGATTGTGTGGCTCCGTCGGCAATCGGGTTCCAGGCCGGGTGCGGGTCGAGACTCCGATCGAACTCATCGGATCAGATCCCGTGAAAGCGACCCGTGTAGGTCTCTCAGGTGCCGACAGACGGACGGACTGACAAGTCACACTCGTTAACGTCGCCTGTTATTTTATGAACGGTTAGATAGTTCTTTCTCCAGGTTAGTCCATACGTTCGGTCGTCGGATCAGGAAGGAGGTCACTAGGACGTTCAGAATTACCGGACGAAAACGGACGAAGCTTTGGTAGACTTGGAGACCTTGGCATATAGACGGAGTAAACCGTTTCTGGAGTTCATGGGTGAGCATTAACGTGAGCAATAGTGGCTGAAGGTAATGGAAGGGTTACTCTACGATTCCTACTGTGTTATGTTATTCTGTTATTCTTGTTACGAGGAGCAACAGTACCTCGTAACATAGCATACCGCGCATGAAGTGAGGTAACCTTGAAGTGCCACGTGTCTGAATGAGTGAGGCAGTTTGAAGGTCCTGTTCATACTCGTGCATGTACTCGTAAATTGTCAGATTAATAGGTTCGACGAACGCTCGCAAGAGCTAACGGAAATATTCCTGATTGATTTCTGTATCATTCTTCGCTCATGGAAATCCACGAGAAGGGGTGAAGGGAAAGGTGACGGAGGCCATGTATAGCTGGCATGAGACGTATAAATGAGACGACGAGATGCTATCAAAAAGATCTGCCACCCCATTTGTCATATAAAGGGAGAGACCAGTCTCGGTGAAACAAATTACGGATGCTTCATCACTTGAAGTTATCTCCTTTAGATCTGATGGAAGTGTCTCGGCGATCCAGGATATTTTTGAGTCCCTCACAGAACCCGATTTTCCGGATGCCTTCGATGTCGTGGCCGCTTCTGCATTCGCTTTCTTATGGGCTGTCAAGTCGCTCTCCACGTGACTCGTGACTCACGGACTGGAGAGAGACGAAGTCACACGAAATATGGAGAATATGGGGGGTGAGGAGAAATTCCCCAGCCCCAGTTTTCCAAAACAGTAACCACATTCCACTCGAGTGGCTTGCATCGGGGGTGATTCCCCTTCGTGAAAAATGTAGAGAGGGGCGCTCCACAAGCGTTTTCCGAAACAGTGATTACAAGTGTAATCACTGTTTCGGAAAACTGGGGCTGGGAAATGTTGCCTTACCCTCAGTATTCCCCAGACTTGAGTCTCAGTGACTTCCATCTGCTTCCAGTCATGAAGAACGAGCTCCGAAGAGAATGCTGCGACGGTGCAGATGAAGCGAATGCAGCAGTGGCTAGAGCATTCAAGGAAATCCCGAAATTTGGACACAGAGTACTGAAAAAGATCCTGGATCGCTTCACATCAATTCCACTTTCAATTCAAGAAGAGTACTTGAAACAATGCAGCAAATTTTCGGTCTCTGGAGCTGTGTACAACTTTCCCCCTTCTCATTCTACACGCTTGCTCGTTTATTAACTTTCTTAAATCCTCTTTTTTAATACATTTTTTTCGGCTTTCCTGAAGATGAATATGCTTTTTCCCTCTGAAACGTCACAATATTTCCATGGTTGGATGTTTCTCAGTGTTATCTTCTGACCTTCTTCTTCACTACCTATTACCTCTTCGAGGATCCCGGTATATCTAAAGGCCCTGCTACACTTGGCGAGTACTCGCTAGCGAGTGGGCGAGTTTGGTGTTACATTAAGCAAGTATTCGCTTGAGAGGACTTGCCATTTACTTGCTGCAAGCTGCCAGCAATCTATTTCACGAATGGGGAATTTGCTTTTTGGGGCACCTGTCGATAAATATGAAATATGCAAAGATGATGACTGCCCGCCGAAAGTTGAAGTTCTCATCAGTCACGGTGGATCTAGTCGACAACGTGATGGCACGCCAACTGTCAAAATGACAGGATGCCAAGGAAAGCCAAAGCAGATATCTTCGATTCTGTTCAAACGATTTTTTCCGAAGATCCAGAAACCACTCGCTTCATATATAATTTATGCCAACCTCTTCAGTCATGAAGTGGCCATAATCAATCTCCTATGAGTTTCACACCTGACAAGGGAACGAAGGAACCAAATGAGCAATTCCTCTGGTTGGGTCTCGCAGTACCGTTTTCTTTTTTGTTACCTTTGGAGCTACTTTCTCTAAGAGTCTCTGGAAGGGTGCCTCGTTCATTCGAAGAAAGCCAGCGACGCGATTGGAAATAGACTCTTTTAGGGGCGGCAGTAAGGAATTGTGCACCACCAGAGTAGATCTTTTGAAGAGCCAGTGCATCGTCCAAACTCGTCGATTGCGCCTCCCACTCTTCCTGATAAAACCATACCCCAATGAGGGCAGCAGCGACACTGGCGTTGAAAGGCAACCGACAGACGCATCCTGAACTCATACCAGACGCTTCGCGTTCACCTTTTCAACTCCTGTTGTGGGAGGAGTGGGGCTCAACCTCGCCTCGAGGTTGCCTTTTCATTGGGCTAGCGAGTACTCGCCTTAAGTTTGAAATCTTTCAAACTCGTAGCGAGTGTTGGCGAGTAGTAGCGAGTGGGGTGTTACACTAGGCGAGTGGCCCTAGCGAGTACTCGCCTAGTGTAACAGGGCCTTAAGGTGCGGCAATTTGGTGTTTCTCCATTTTTGCAATTGCTTGAACTTTGTGATCGCCCCTAACGGTTGGAATTCCGCGGAACGTTTACATGGTGACCATCGTCTCTGCCTTCCGGAAGGGGATTGTCAGAGGGTGAGACAAGTAATGATGATGGAACGCACTTGTGAACTGCACCCGGCTATTTTACGAGAGCAAAAACGGAACTTCCTTGTGACCGTGGCTGAACACTGGGTTGACTAAATAAATCCGTATCGGTCAAATATTTGGCGCGAGGGTCAATCTTACGGAATACTGTCTTCGCCCTGGGGTAAACCGAATTAAAGGATCCAATAGAGCAAGATAACTTCCCGGTAATGAATTTCACCCCATGTTCCTCCAGTTAATACTTCCGAAGAAAATCCTAGTACGTTTACAAAGAAATCCTGCTGTCCTCTTGGTAGTCATGACTTTCATGCAGTGTGCGCATTTCACATCGTCCATAGGCTTCGTGGCGCCTATTCCCTTTCTTCAACGTTACACATCTGAACTGAAATGGTTCGTGAAACTCGAAACAGGCCCATAATCGGTGTAACGTTACACGTCCCGTTCTCACCGAGATGTCTCGAAGACACCGGGATTGACCCTTTTAGGCCTAATTGGCCTCCTATGTTGAGAGTTGCAATTATTATTGCACGAATAAAGGTAGGCCAAGGCCTGACATGAAGGC